AAGAGGGTGTTGAGAAGCATTGAGGTTTATTGGAACATCTTGGTTGGGAGGATGAAGGGAGATGGGAAGCGATGCTTGGGTCACTTGGATTTGGTTTACGCAGCAACAGTGCTTTGGAGCTAGAACTATACTCCCAGCTTTCCTCTGGCTGGCTCCTTTACCGTGCCTCAGTTTCCCTGCTCTTAGGCTAATGCGTCAAAGCTAGTGTCCCTGCGGGCAGGGAAAGCGGAGAGAGACGTCAGCTCTCTAGGGTTGACAGCTGATTCTTGTATCTTACAGCTCTCTTAACTTTGTTTTTAAAACACTCGATGAGTCAGAATGACCGGGACGGGGATCGTAACAGAGTTTGCTTTTTTTTTTGAAAAACCGTGTGAGCCAAGCAGTGAGGGTCAGATTAGAAGGGGTTAGATTTTTTTTTTTTATCCCTTACTGTTATGAGAAAAGATCCTGATAACAGAATGAAGGAATAGAATTTAGACCAAGCCAGTGTCAGGAAGAATTGTGACTAGAATATGTGATTTCCCCTGAGAATCTTGGCAGCGACAGTTTCTGGCCCTGGAGTCCACGGGTTAGCTGTAGCGTTATCCCACGTCACCGTGACATCAGGATGATAACAGGCTTTCCCTAATAGGACCTCTTCACTCCTCCTCCTTCCTGGAAGTTGAAACTGATTCCACAGACAGCATAGCTTCGATTTCTTGGCATTCTAGGGGAAGGGCCGTTTCTCCCCTGTGCTCAGTGTTCCTTAAATCCATGTACTCTTAAGACCTTCTCCATTAATATCTGTGTCTTTATTTATTTTAAGAGTTTTTTTGCTATTGGGTGCGTGCGCTCACCAGAAAGAGAGACAGAAGGTGAGAAATCAGCCCCCAGAGGGGATGACCACGCCGTAATCCCTTCTCCATTCTCCTCTCGGGATCTTGGGCACGCACACACACGTGCCCGGCGTGAGTTTAAGCCATCAGGTCTGGGACTCAAATTGCGGTCGACTACATGGGAGTCCAGCGACGTAGCCATTACACCATCTGCTGGTCCCCAGACTACCATTCTAGGTCCAGGACTTAAACCTCAGTCGGCCATGTGTGAGTCCAGCACCCTTAACCAACATGCTAGCTCTGGTATATTTGCTTTTATTTTACGAAGGGACTTCAAACATTTATGGAAAAATGGAATTAAAATACGAGTTTATTTTAGTGAAAAAACATTCTTTAAACCATGCCTAGTTTTTATTTGTAGTACACATTTTTCTGACCTTTTGGAAGACCCCTTGCATCTGTATGTTTGATTGTATGCTACTCTTCCCAATGTGATTCAGTTAAGCGATGTCGGTAGCTTAGAGTTGGCCATGGTGGGAATATTTTTACGTGGAAATTGGCAAACATGACAAATCAGGGCCTCCCCCACTTTGGAGAGCAAGTTCTAAACATTGACCAGCATGCTGCTGGTGGCTGGGTAGTTCATCTAGTCCTGCTGAGGCTCCTGGGACTCGGCGGGCTCAGGCAGCACCAGCCTCTGATGCCCACTGAGAGCAAGGCTCCAGCAGCCAGGCGGTGGGTTCCTGAGCCTGCAGGGTGTTGCCCAGCTCCCTCCTCCCTCTTCTCAGGCCCTTCCATACTTTGACCGACTGGACTACGTGTCCATGATGTGCAATGAGCAGGCCTATTCCCTGGCCGTGGAGAAGCTGCTCAACATCCAGCCGCCTCCCCGGGCGCAGTGGATCCGAGGTAAGTCGTGCGGCCTCTTCCTGGCCCTGCGTGAGCACAGCATGGTGCTCCCCACTCCTCCCCACCACAGGGGCATCGAACCCTTAGTGTTCAGACCTAGGCTCTGTCAGCCCCTGGATCCTCGGCCCCTGAAGCCTTTTCTCCTCCTCGTCTCCACCTTTTCACAGTGCTGTTTGGAGAAATCACACGCCTTTTGAACCACATCATGGCTGTGACCACACATGCCCTGGACATTGGAGCCATGACCCCTTTCTTCTGGATGTTTGAAGAGAGGGAGAAGGTATGCGAGGGTGGAAGTACAGAAGTAGGGAAGGAAGTGCAGGAAGTAGAGATGGTATGAAGGGCATGACATTAAAAGAAGGCCCAGGCCAGCAGGTGACGTGTGGTTAAAGCCCTGGACTCCAGCATAGCCGACCATAGTTCAAGGCCCAGACCTGGTGGCTTAAAAGTCACACCAAACACGTGTGCGTGTGCCCAAAATTCCAAGAGGAGAATGGAGGAAAGGGGATCGAAGCGTGGCCATCCCGCATTTGTGTGTGTATGCGGGGGGATTTCTTATCCTCATTCTGTTTCTTTCTCTCTCTGGAAAGCACACACACCCTATGGTAAAAATCTTAAAAAACAAAACAGGCGCAGTGTAGTGGTGTAGTCAGTAGCAAACTGAACTGTAGTGGTGGAAGCCACGTGGCTGACCGTGGGTTCACATCTTCAGGTTGGCCTGCATATATGCCAGGTAGGAATGCATGTGCCCAAGATCCAGAGGAATTGGGGGAAGGGGATTGCAGCTTGATGAGACCCTGTCTCAGTGATGTTTCTTTCTCTTTCTTATACGTAAAATAATAATAGAAAGAAAAGGTGATCAAAAGGAGAAAGAGAACATGGGGAGAGCAGTTAGGGGAGAAGGTGCATCTCACTTGGGCTGTCGTCTTCGGAATCTGTCCTGAGGAGTTGGCTGGGCACAAAGAGGCAGAGGGCGAGGAGCAGGCCGCTGTATTGTTGGACGTAGGGGCACAGGCCTTTGTCACTAATTCCCAGTGTGTCCTATCAAGATGTTTGAGTTCTACGAGCGAGTGTCTGGAGCCCGGATGCATGCTGCTTACGTCCGGCCTGGGGGAGTGCATCAGGTGAGCTGCCCCCTGCCTCCCTGGGCTTCAGTCCAGGTCTGTTTCCTCTGTGGCCACTGGAGGGCAGTGCTGGCCAATGGGAACCAAGCCTGTCCCCCTGGGGGCGGGGCCAGGCCTACTCCTTAGTGGAGGCCTGCTGTGCTCAGCATCACCTGCACTGGCTTCTAGGACCTACCCCTGGGGCTGCTGGATGATATTTACGAGTTTTCCAAGAACTTCTCTATTCGGATTGATGAGCTGGAGGAGGTAAGATAAGAGCCTGAGAGAAATCCCTTTCCCCAAGAAGGGCTTGTGTGCTTTAGTCCCAGCTGTAAGGACATACCGAGGTGTGGAGAGGGTTCTAAAGCGGATTTACACACCGGCTTTCTTGATCAATAGATGCTGACTAACAATAGGATCTGGCGAAACCGGACAATCGACATTGGAGTTGTAACAGCAGAAGATGCACTTAACTACGGTTTTAGGTGGGAGGAATACAGCTTCTCTCCTTGGGGTGGGTTTTAGGTGGGCGTGGGGTGGGGGAGTTCCGACCTAATAGCCTGACTTTTGAGACTGTTTGGTGCCCTCCTGGCCATGCTCTGAGTGGGCACTCCATACCTGGGGTGGAGGGGGGGGGAGCGGGGGGGGGTAGACCTTTCCTGGGCTGTGGCGCTGGCCCTTACTCCCCGTGCTCTCCAGTGGAGTGATGCTCCGGGGCTCGGGTATCCAGTGGGACCTACGGAAAACCCAGCCCTACGACGTTTACGACCAGGTCGAGTTTGACGTTCCCATTGGCTCTCGAGGGGACTGCTATGACAGGTGAGTCCTGGGCCCTCACTCAGCTCATCGTCCGGCTGGTTCCCCGGCCTGAGTTTCCTCTTTGCTACTTTCTTCTTTACCTGCTTCCCCAAATCCACGGGAGCTCGTGTTGTGCTAACCTGGGTTGCTCCTCAAAGCACTGTCACACGTGGGCATCTCACCCTACCCAGACCTTATCCCCGTCTTAGATAGCGTGAGCTGGGGCTGCATTTTATAGCTGCGAAAGCTGAGGCATGAAAGTGAGGGGGTAACCTGGGTTATTCTCGTAGTAGTGGCTGAGGCTGGAATCCCCTAATCCAGAGCAGTACTCTTCCCACTAGGGCCTAGGCTTCAGATCCCAATCCTGTTTACTGACCCTGAGTAAGATTCGGGCGTGTGTGTTTTCCTATGAGTCCATTTGACTCTCATTCCTCCTGTAGCTCCCAAAACGTTTTAAGTTGGTAATTGGAGACAAAAATACTACCTACCAGCCCTGGTCTGAGAAAATAAAGAGGATTTAGAGAAGGATCCAAGGAGCATTGACCTCGCTCTTTTGCAGTTGGCCAAAGGGCCTCCTTCCCAGCCCCGCCCTGCTCATCTGCTCGCTCCTCTCCGACTGACCTGGCTCGCGCTCTGCAGGTACCTGTGTCGGGTGGAGGAGATGCGCCAGTCTCTGCGGATCATCTTCCAGTGTCTGAACAAGATGCCTCCTGGGGAGATCAAGGTCGATGATGCCAAAGTGTCTCCACCTAAGCGAGCAGAGATGAAGGTTGGCTGAGAGAGAGGAAATGGACTATCTCAGATTTCTTCTTGTTCGTTATAATAAGATTCTTTTCAAGTATATTCTTTATTTCATGAGCGAGAGAGATAGGTACCCTCGACGAGTCTCAACACTCCAGCACCACCCTCCTCCCTACCCCCAACCTTCCAGCCACCCAGGATCATGGGCACACCTGGCGTGTTGACGTCAACCCAGGAGCCAAATCCCAGGCCCTCCCAAATGGCTCCAGCGTCATGCAGTGGCACCCTGCCACCTGCGCCATTGTAGCTAGGCTTTTATAAGATTCTTAACCTTGGGACCAGCAGTTGTCGTAATGGCCATGTTGCTGGACTCCCATGCAGTCGACTGCAGTTCGAGTTCTGGACCCAGCGTCTTAAACTCACACCAGGCGCATGTGCATGCCCAAGATCCTGAGAGGAGAAAGGAGGAGGCGGGATTGCGGTGTGGCCATCCCCCCCGGGGGGTGATTTCTCGCTTTTTCTCTCTGTCTTTCTGGCAAGCGCACGTGCCCTATAGCAAAATCCTCTCCCCCCCACAAAAAAATATATATATATATTTTTAACCTTCTGTAGCTCTGTTTCATCCTGCGTCTTTTCCACTCACCGATATGGGTTTTTAGTCTGTAAGGCTGGAGATTACTTCCCATGCTGGAGGCGGCCCGGGAGGCAGTGTGAGTCCAGTTTACTGATGCTCCCTTTTCCTTTCTTCAGACTTCCATGGAGTCGTTGATCCATCACTTCAAGTTGTATACCGAGGGCTACCAAGTCCCTCCGGGAGCCACATACACCGCCATCGAGGCCCCTAAGGTAAGGGGGAGGGGTAGGAAAAGACTGTGTGAGGCAGGCGACTGAAAGGACATAGAGGTTCTGCAGAATGCTTGTTCACAGGCAAGAGGGCCTGAGAGCAGACAGGTTTTGCTGGCAGAGGAGAAGGCTCTTCCTACTAATGAGGCGCCCACCTTCTTCCTTGTGCAGGGAGAGTTCGGGGTGTACTTGGTGTCTGATGGCAGTAGCCGCCCTTATCGATGCAAGATCAAGGCTCCTGGTTTTGCCCACCTGGTAAGAAAATTCCAGTGATTTAGACTCTAGTAAGTTGGTGCCAGCAGGTGGCATGGAGGTTAAAGAGCTGGACTCCCACATGGCTGACTGCCATTCAAGTCCCAGACATGGCTTCTTGTTTTCTTACTTTCCCTTTCTCTCTCTCTGCTCCAAAAATAGTAACAAATAAAGTAAATAATTGAAAAAAAAAAAAAAAACCTCTAGTAAAGTAATCCAATAATATATTGATCTTGGTTGAGATTTTTTAGGAACTTTCCTCCTTCTCCCACCGTGCAAATCTCGCCTAACACCGTTGCTCTCTGACCCTCCCCAGGCTGGTTTGGACAAGATGTCTAAGGGACACATGTTGGCGGATGTCGTTGCCATCATAGGTACGAAGCCTGTTGTGTAGAGGGGTCCTAGACAAGGGCTTGGGACTCCCACCCGGGGCAGAAACTGAGCACGCCCTGTTCAACACAGACTAGGTGTGTGCTCCAGGCATCATGAGCAGAGCGCCTAGCTCTGGACCTTTGGTAACGCCACTTCCTTTCTCTGTCCTCTGACCCCCTAGGTACCCAGGACATTGTGTTTGGAGAAGTCGATCGGTGAGCCGGACAGCAGCCCTGGCTCTCCCTGCCTAGGAAGCGTTCTCCGCGGAGCCTGTCCCTCGTTGGAGACAGGGCTGTGTGTGTGCGTGTGAGTGTACATGGACACATAGCGGTCGGGCTCTCTCTGCATGTGCTAGAAAAGGAGAAATTATAATAATAAACTAGCCGCCTTACGGCCCCTGTGCCCAAATTTCTGGTGTGTTTCTCAGTATCTTACTATCTTGCACTTTGATAGGAAACTTCAGTGTTCGTTAACCCTCTGTTACACTCACATCTTAGCCATTTTTCCTGCTCATCCCCACCCCCATCTCTGACTCTTGGCCTTTCAACTTCTCCATTCCTTGTTTCCTCTTTCCCCCACAGTTTCCCCCTGCCCAGACCTCCCAGTGTCCACACGACATTGGGAAACACGTCAAATCAAAACTCGTTCCAGGTGGGAGCGAAAGGGCTATTGTGAGGTCTGAGGAGGGGTGATTTATCAGAGATGTATCATGAACAGGGCGGAGGGAGAGATGGCGGGTGTGGATGGCCTTTCCCGGGCATGAGGGTCTCCTCATTCTCTGGGTTGAGAAGTTTGGTCACTGAAGGACTGAGGCTGAAGAGCCCAGATCTCCCAGCTCCCTTTGTTAGCCCTTCCGGGAGCCGCCCGGTCTCGGGTGCAGGAAGGGGAAGGGGCCGAAGCATAGGGGAAGGCGTGGCAGGAAGGGGGGAACTCTGTGGTTAGGGAACCGCTGGCTGATCACAGCTGCGCAGAGCTGTCAGCGTCGGATCCCCGACTGCACCTCGGCCCCCTGCCCAAGATGATTCCGGCAGTGGTCTTGCTCTTACTCCTTTTGGTGGAACAAGCAGGTGAGAGGCCGGGAGCCGGGCTCCATGGTGGGAGTGGGCTGTGTGTCTGAGGGCCGAGTCAGGGACAGAGACTGGGAGGCCAACAGTTGGCAGGTGGGCACAGGCTGAGATGGTACAGATACCATGGGGCTGGCCCGAGCAAGCCCCCACTCGGTGCTAGAGTCATACTTCCCTCTTCCCTCGTCCCCTCCCTTATTCCAGTACGCTCCCCCTTTTCAGGATTGTTCTAGAGCATCCACTTGGCAAGGGGAGGGGAGAGTTGCAGGGCTTCGTGGAAAGGCTCCATTTCCCATGACCAGCCTTTCCCATGGGTGTCTTTGGCCTTGCCCACTGGAATCTGCTCTCCAGCCAGTTAAATGTACAGGCCCCCTTATGGAAGGCGAGGCCTGTCCTTGTGCTGGGAAGTGAGACAGGATAAACAGCCATGATTGCCGTTCCTGTGGGTCATCCCTGGCACCGTCCTGTCGGCTGCTGACGGCAGGTTGGCAGTGCGAAATGCCTGGTTTAGAGAGCAGAGCATCAGCTGAGAAGCAGGCAGACGCGGGACGGTCCCAGCTGCTCGAAAGCTTCACTATCGGGACTCTCACTTCTTGTTCACTTGTGTGTCTTGGAAGGGTGTCTGTGTGCAAAGGGCTGGCTTAGCTGTGTGCTGGGGGGGACGGGGCTGGTGAACTTTGGAGAAACCGAAGAAAGCAGCAGTTCCTCCAGCCAGCTGAGAAGGTGGGGAAGGGTCAAGGGTGGACTCTGCAGCCCCGGGAAGAGTGAGCCGGGGCGCTGAGGCAGAACCCCTGGATCTGAGGTCCAACTCTGTCACCGAACTCTGTGCCCTGCGTGAGTCACGAAGCTTTTCCGAGCCATAGTTTCATCATCCATAAAATGGCGATGAAGTTTCCCCTCACAGGGTAGTTTTGAGACTTATGTAATATCGTGTGTTGTGTGTGAGAGAGAGAGAGAGAGGGAGAGAGAGTCATAGAATGAAAAGGACTTCACTGATGTCAGTACTTGACCTTTGCCAGACACGTGCTGACATCAGTCCTTCAGATGGCGGCTGGGAACAGTCTCGAGCCCAGATCGTATTTGATTTTTAAAATTGCACAGAACTTCCTCTCTCAGAGTGAGTAGCAGGGCAGAGTAGCCAGAAGAGGAATTTACACAGCTACGCTCACTCTCCCGGGCGCATGGTCATCTCAGCTTGGCGTGCAAAACCAGTGGTATCCAGAAGGCCTGGGAAAGCAGACGTTGTGCTTTGTATATATTCAAGTGTCTGTGGCAGGACACAGCAATGAGGCTGAGGCTAGCGATGACCAATAATAGAGTAATTGCCTTCCCTCCCTCCCCGGCTCACATCCTTCCTGTCCACCCTCAGCCACAGGTCACAGGACTTAGCAGAGACACTTCTGTGGTTTCTTCACTGAAATTTGCCACTGCTTCTCCCTCCCCCCTTTACCCAGCTGAGGTTTTGGTCTTAGCTCAGTGAACTCGAATAGGTCCCTTGAGGTGCATGAAGTATTCAATGGTGCCTGAGAAACCCACAGTGCTAAAGAGAACAGGTTGGGGACCAGTCGGGAGCACGATGATCAAGTATGATGCGCTAACCAAGGGAATTCCACATGGGAAAGTTCCCAGTTCAAGTCTGGAGACCTCTCTGAGGCAACAGGCATGCACGTGCCCAAATCTGGGAATGACTGCAGGCTGGAGTGGATGGCAGTGTAGAAATCCTGCTGGACAGTCTTTAAAAAAAGGGGGACCAGCAGTTAGCGTGATGGCTTTGTTACTGACTAGTCGACTGTAGTTTGAGTCCCGGACCCGGTGGCTAAAACTCACGCTGGGCGCGTGTGTGTGCGTGCCCAAGATCCCGAGAGGAGAATGGAGGAGAAGGGATTGCGGCGTGGCCATCCCTCCTGGGGGGTGATTTCTCACTTTCTGTCTCTCTGTCTCTTTCTGTCTTTCTGGTGAGCGCACAAGTCCTATAGCAAAAACCTCTCCAAAAAGAAAAAAAAAAGAAAGAAAAGAAAAAGGGAGACCGGCAGTTGGCATTATGGCTACATCGCTGGACTCCTAAGTAGTTGACCATGGTTTGAGCCCCAGACCTGGTGGCTTAAACTCATGCCAGGCACATGTGCATGTGTGCCCAAGGTCCTGAGAGGAGCATGGAGGAGAGGGGATGCAGCATGGCTATCCCCCCGGGGTGATTTCTCACTTTCTGTCTCTCTGTCTTTCTGGTGAGCACATGCGCCTTACAGCAAAAAAACCCTCTCCAGAAAAAAAAAACAAAAAACGAGGGGCTGGCAGGAGGTGTGATGGTTAAGGTGCTGGACTCCCATGTGGCTGATGACAGTGTGAGTCCCAGACCTGGTGGCTTGCTTTTTCATTTTCTCTTGCTGGGACCTGCTTGGCTGAACACGTTTTTCTGGGGGGAGGGGGGCGGGCTGTGGATTAGAAATAAATGTAAAAAATCAAAACAAAGACATACAAGTATAGAAAAACAAAAATTGGGTGGACCCGACTTCTCTGGTGGAAAAAGCCACAGCCCTGAACCTGCCTCAGGTTTATTTTTAATTTTTTGGGACCAGCAGTTAGCGTAATGTCTATGTCGCTGGACTCCCACGTAGTCGACCGTGGTTTGTGTCCTGGACCCGGTGGCTTAAAACTCACGCCTGGAGTTTGTGCGTGCGTGCCCAAGATTCTGAGAGGAGTACGGAGGAGAAGGGATTGCGGCGTGGCCATTCCCCCTGGGGGGTGATTTCTCGCTTTCTCTCTCTCTGTCTCTCTCTGTCTGGTGAGCGCACGTGCCCTATAGCAAAAAAAAAAGCCTCCTTTCTTGAGATTTTTTTTTGCTATAGGGCACGATTACACTAACTGCTGGTTCCCCCAATAAATAATTCTTTTAAAAAAAGAAAAGAAAAGAACGAAAGAAAAGAAGAGACAGAAAGGATTGAAAGCTGAAGGGGAAGTTCTCAAGTATTGGTCCACCTCTGCATGAAGCCATTATCATGGAACTATCATACCCCTCTACTCTAGGGTGGGGGAAAAAGGGGACACTTAAGAAAAATGGAGCTTATGTCCAGCCAGTGACATGGTGGTTAAGGAGGCTGGATCCCACATGGCTGGCGGTTCAAGTCCCACACCAGTGACTTGAAAAACATGCCAGGTGTGTGTGTATGTCCCAAATCCCAAGCGGTCATCCCCATGGGGGGTGATTTCTCACTTACTCTCTCTCTCTCTTGCACAATGCCCTGTTGCAAATTTAATAAAAAAGAAAGGAAGAAGGGCCAGCCGGCAGGAGGTGTGGTGGCTAAGGGTGTTGGACCTCCCACAAGGTTGACTGTAATTCGAGTCCTGGACCTGGTGGTGTGCTTTCTCACTTTCACTCTCTTTCTCTCTCTCTCTCTCTCTCTCTCTCTCTGTCTCTTTCAGGTCAAATAAAAATAAATAAACAAAGTTAAATAAAATAATTCTTTAAAAAAAGAAGAGGGTGGCGTGGTAGCTAAGGTGCTGGCCACTCCCACATGGCTGCCATGATTTCGAGTCCCAGACTCGTTGGCTTGCTTTTTCACTTCCTCCTTCTCTCTGATAAAATTAAAATAAATGAATGAATAAATATTTTGAGAGGTTTTTTTGCAATAGGGTGTGTGCGTACACCAGACAGAGAGAGAGACAGAGAGACAGAAAGCAAGAAATCATCCCCCAGGGGGGATGGCCACACCGCAATCCCTTCTCCTCCATTCTCCTCTCAGGATCTTGGGCACGTACGCACACACGCCTGGCATGAGTTTTAAGCTACTGGGTCCGGGACGCAAACTGTGGTGGACTACATGGGAGTCCAGCGACATAGCCATTACGCTAACTGCTGGTCCCTGAATAAATAATATTAAATAAATAAGTCTAAAAAAAAGAAGAAGAAGAAAGAAAGAGAGAGAAAGGAAGGAAGGAAGAAAGAAAGAAAGAGGGGCCAGCAGGTGGTGTGGTTAAGGCGCTGGACTTGAACATGGTCAACCATGGTTCAAGTCCTGGACTTGGAGGCTTGCTTTCTCACTTTCCCTCTGTTTCTCTCTCTCCTTTCTTTTTCTGGTCAAATTGAAAAAAAAAAACAATAATAAATAAAATAAAATAATTTAAAAAGAGAGAGAGAAAGAAAAAGAAAAATCAGAGTCCAGACAGGAAGATAGCATTTCAATCCCTTAGAGAATACCCTCCAGTTCCCCTCCAGTCTCCCAGGTCCCTCTCTTTCTCTGAGCACTGATGTTCCCTGCCGTCTCTGACCCTGGGGAACTCTTTGTCTCGGCAGCGGCGCTGGCAGAACCCCAGCTCTGCTACATCCTGGATGCCATCCTGTTCCTCTATGGTATTATCCTCACCCTGCTCTACTGTCGACTCAAAGTAAGGCTGGGCCGGGAGGTGGGGACTAAAAGCGGAAGTGGCGGGGACAACAGCATGGATTGGAGGAGAGGGAATGAAAGGGGATTCCCCACCATGTCTGGAGGGGAGGGGGCTGGGCATGATGAGCTTCCTCATTCCTGACAACCTTCTTTCCACTCCAGATCCAAGTGCGAAAGGCGGCCGTCGCCAACTATGAGGTATGGGCCCTCCTATACTCACGTGTCCGCACTTTTCCAGACTCAGCCCTTCGGGCCTGTGGCCTCTGGGTTTGCAGATGCCGATCAGCACACACTTTAGAGGCCCCCTCACACACTGCCCTACACACCCTGCCACCTAGCCATGCCATACGTGGACTGGTGGGTGGTAAGGGAGAAGCAAGCGCAGGGTGACAATGACTACCTGAGAGAGCTGTATGGTGTGGCGCGTGTCTGTGTGTGGTGGTGTGCGGACAAACATGCATTCGTGTCCCGGAACATCCATGTGAGTGCCCTATGCCCGACGTAGCTACCCTCCTGGCCAGACTCCTCCTGGGGTGGGGAAGATGCGGAAAGGCCCAAAGGAGGTGTGGGTCTCTAACGCCTGTTCCTTGTGTCTCAGCAGAAATCAGAAGGAGTTTACACGGTGAGTGAACCAGCCTCCCCACCCTATCAGAAGAGGGTGGGATTTTGAATGACATTGGAAAGGGGTGGGACCTGCGGGGTGGGTGGGACCTTGTGATGGTCTCTGGCCTCTAACCGTCCTCTGACACCCACCTCCAGGGCCTGAGCACCCGGAACCAGGAGACGTATGAAACTCTGAAGCATGAGAAACCGCCGAATTAGTGTTAGGACAGAGGCCCTTGGTGGTCGCATCCTTCTCCAGCTTCTAGCTCTCCTCCCAGCCCTCATAGCTGGCGTTGCTCATGCCTCCATGCCATTAATGCCAGCTGACCCTCCCCTGTAATGACACTGTGCTCCAAATTACTGTCACTAGTGGTTCCGCCTCCCTGTCAAAGACTTACACTCAGATGCTTTTCACTGATGTTTATATTCTAATCTCACTCCCTGTCCCACCCCTCTCCTCTTCCCCACCCCCAAGTCCAACTAAACAATTGGAAGGGCAGACCCCCAATAAAGCTGCCGTAGAATGAGTCCATTGGTTTATTCATTTTTCATATATTTATTCCAACTTTTAAAATTTTTTGGTCATAGGACTTGTGCCCTTGTCATAGAGAGAGAGAGAGAGAGACAGATAGAAAAGGGAAGTGAGACATCACCCCCCTAGTTGGGAAGGTCATGCTGCAACCCCTCCTCTGTTTTTTTTGAGAGATTTTTACTATAGGGCACGTGTGCTTACTAGAGACAGAGACAGAAAGCAAGAAATCACCCCCATTGGGGGATGGCCTTGCTGCAATCCCTTCTCCATTTTGCCTTGAGATGTTGGGCACGCATGCACACACACTTAGCGTGAGTTTCAAGCCACCAGGTCTGGGATTAAAACTGTAGTCGAGGGAACCAGCAGTTAGCATAATGGCTATGTTGCTGGACTCCCACGTAGTAGACCGCGGTTCGCGTCCCAGACCCGGTGGCTTAAAACTCACGCCGGGCACGTGTGCATGCGTGCCCAGGACCCCAAGAGGAGCATGGAGGAGAAGGGATTGTGGCGTGACCATCCCCCTGGGGGGCGATTTCTCGCTTTCTGTCTCTATGTCTCTCTCTGTCTGTCTGGCGAGCGCACGCGCCCTATAGCGAAAACCTCTCAAAAAAAAAAATTGTTGTCGACTTTGTGGGAGTCCAGCAATGTAACCACTATGCCATCTGCTGGTCCCACCTCTTGAATTTTGGCCTAGCGTGCACACATGTCTGGTGAGATATTCTTTTTGTCTTTTTCTTTTCTTTTCTTTTCTTTTCTCTCCTTTCCTTTTCTTTTTTCTTTTAGGGACACGTGTCTAGCGTGAGGTTCAACCCACTGGCTGAAACTCAAACTGTGGAGTCGGCTATGTGGGATCCGGCCGCCTTGACTCCCACACCATCTGTTGGCCCCCATTAACTAGGCCTTTACTAAGTGATAGGCTAGATACTGAAGATATGATTTCAAGTAAGGCAGACTTAATCTTTGACCTCTCAGAACTCCTAGTCATTTCTCTTCACTGAGGAAGGAGTGTTGACTGGGTGGGGGAGGAATGAGACACTTGATCCCCTTCAGGCTCAGGGATGAGGCTGGAGCAGGGAGTTGTGTGTTGAGTGTAGAGAAATCAACACCTGAGAAATGTCCTCTGTGGGCCAGCAGATGGTATAGTGGTTAAGGTGCTGGATCCCACATGGCTGACTGTGCGGTTGAAATCCTGGACCTGGCGGCCTGGAAAACACTTGGACGTGTGTCCATGCGTGCACAAAATCCTGAGAGGAAATGGAGAGGGGATTACGGCATGGCCTTGCCCCGCCCCTGGAGGGTGATTTCTCACTTTCCCTCTCTTGGCCTCTCTCTGATGCGCACCTAAGTAAAAGTCTAAAATAAAAAGAAAGGAAGAGAGAGGAGGGAAATGTCCTCTGCCCCAGCATGGCCTGACTGACAGGGTTGGGTTGGGGGTAAGCCTGGCTGTATCGGCCCAAACAGTCACCAATCCCGATAGTACTGGACCAGAACTTGCATGTGGGAATTAGCATGGCTGAAAACTGAACTTTCCACGGAGATGGGATGACGAGAGCTGTGAGGCTCTGGATGGAATGTTCTATGGAAACAGCGAGTTTTCAGTGGGTCCTGAGGCAAGAGTGTGCTCTTAAGAGAGCTGGAAAGGGGTCGGAGGTGGGCAAGGCAAAGGAGAACAGGTCAGGTCTCAAAGGGAGGTCATTTCTCATTAGTGCATGGGTGAGTGGCCAAGGAGTCCCCTGTCAGTGCTTGCCGTGTTTCCAGAACAACTAGGAAGCTCTGCATGGAAGTGTTTAAACGCTCATCAGATGCCAGAGTCCTGCCTCTGACCCAGCCTTCCTTTCAGCGTGGGGCTAGAGTCTCCACACTTCCCCCTGGGAACCCCCATACTTGGCAGTACTTATTAACCCCTTTCAAAGTATTTTCTAGCTCTTTGTACTCTTTGACCTATTCACTAACCCCACGAAGAAATTTAGGCTCTTTACAGTCAATTATTCTATCCAGGTCACCTTGCAAGTGGCCAACTGAGATCTCTTTGTCCTTGTCTCATTTTACCACGTGAGAAAAAAGTAGATATTAGGGGAGCTGGCAGGGCACACGGTGGTTAAGGCACTTGGCTTCCACGTAGTTGACCACGGTTTAAGTCCTGGACCTGGAGAATGGCTTTCTCACTTTCCCTTTCTCTCTCTCTCTGGTCAAATTAAAAAATAATAATAATAACAAAGTTGGGGCCAGCAGGTGGTGTGGTGGTTAAGGTGCTGGACTCCCATATGGCCGACTACGATTTGAGACCCAGGCCTGGCAGCTTGCTTTCTCACTTTCCTCTCTCTCTCTGTGTCTCTCTTTGGTGAGTACCTGTGTCCTATAACAAATTCATAATAATAAAAAATTAAAAATAAATAATTCGTTTTTAAAAAGAGATGATTTTATTTAACTTTATTTATTTATTTTGATAAATAAATAAATAATTCATTATTTATTTATCCCAGAGAGGGTCAGAGTAAGAGAGGGGGACTGTGAGAAAGTAAGCCACCAAGTCTGGGACTTGAACCGCAGTCACCTGTGTGGGGGTATTGTGCCCTTAACCACCATGCCACCTGCCGGCCCTAAATAAATAATTCTTTTGGGGCTGGCAGGTGGTATGGTGATTAAGGGCACTGGATTCCCACATGGCCGACAGCGATTCAAGTCCTAAACCTGGTGGCTTACTTTCTCACTTTTTCTCTCTCTCTCTGTCCCTCTCTGGTCAAACTGAAGTAAGCAAATTAATAAATAAATAAGGTTAAATAAAATAATTCTTTTTTTATTTTTTGGGAGAGATTTTCACTGTAGGGCGCGTGCGCTCGCCAGACAGACAGAGAGAGACAGAGAGACAGAAAGTGAGAAATCACCCCCCAGGGGAGATGGTCACGCCGCAATCCCTTCTCCTCCATTCTCCTCTCGGGATCTTGGGCACGCACGCACATGCGCCCAGCGTGAGTTTTAAGCCACCGGGTCCGGGACACGAACCGCGGTCGACTACGTGGGAGTCCAGCGACATAGCCATTACGCTAACTGCTGGTTCCCAAATAAAATAATTCTTTAAAAAAATGATTCTTTGGGGGCCCAGCAGGTGGCATGATGGTTAAAGATGTTGGCCTCCTACATAGCCAACAGCAATTCAAATCCCGGACCTGTTGGCTTGCTTTCTCACTTTCCCTCTCACTCTCTCTCACTGTCATTCTGTCATTCTCTGGTCAAATGAAAATAAATAAAGTTAAATAAAATAATTCTTTTTTTTTTTTTTAAGAGGTTTTCTGCTATAATAGGGTGCGTGTGCTCGCCAGACAGAGACAGAGAGACAGAAAGCGAGAAATCACCCCCCAGGGGGGATGGCCACGCCACGATCCCTTCTCCTCCATTCTCCTCTTGGGATCTTGGGCATACACGCACACGTGCCTGGCACAAGTTTTAAGCCACTGGGTCCAGGACGCGAACCGCAGTCAACTACGTGGGAGTCCAGCAACATAGCCATTACACTAACTGCTGTTC